TCCTGCTGATAAGTGGCCTGAAACCTAACCTTCTCTTTTCCTCCAACTAGCACATAAAACTTTCAGGAAGGGCACTCATGCTTTCCTAGGATGAAGCTTCACCCTTACAATCAATGCGGTATTGAGTCAGGCAAGGAAGCAAGCACAGTTATCTTTCCCAGCCAGAAAGCTGTTCAGCAGAATTTCAGCCAAAGGCTCAGCACACATTTTAATTGAAGAGAAGGAAAAAGCATCTGAAATGTAAGAATGTTTGTGGGTGGTAGGTGCAAAACTAGAGGAAATAAAATCAGCAGAAAAATTAAATCTATTGACATTTGTAATTCAGCAAATTGTTTTCTCCTCCTCCACTAATCACTAAATTGATAGGGTTGAGTTAATCAGTGTAGAAGGAAATTAGTTTTAATGACAAGTATTTTTTTCTGCTGTTAGGTCTGGTAGCCTTCCTTGGCACTAGAAGCTGAAGTGGCTGAAGCCTTGAGCTGCAAGCTGTAAACTCTCAAATAGATATGTTGAATTCTTACCAAGTAAAGTGGCAGAAGGCCCCAGAGCCAGCTCAGGCTATAGATAAGGAAGTTCCATTCATTAACAGAGGCTGCGACCTTAGCGATAAGAAAATTGCCTAGAAACAATGAAAGGACCCAGTGAAGAACAGGAAGATCCCTGACCCTAATATCATTACTGGTCAGATCTGTCATGTGAAGGGTGAGGAACTTTAACTGTGAAGGTATAAATGCCCAGGGATTTCTTTGTTCAGGGTTCCTTTTCAGAGACACCCTGTAGCATTATCAATAAAGAAGACTTTGTAGGAAAATCTCTTTGCAGCTTATTGATTCAGTGGAAACCTAGAGTCGAACTCCTTTATGGTGGATGGCATGTGCAACTTCCATAACATCATTCTACAAACAAGATTATGTATATTGCCACCAGCCTATAGTTTTATGATCTTGTGAGCAAGAAGAAGACATATATATTCCAAGGCATCAGCAGATTGTTCAGTTACTGAAAAATCCCTTTATAGAAACACAAGCTGACAGTGTCAATCCAACATTTGTACTAAACTCTTCCAGATCTGGGTTATTGGCTACCATCCAGTTTCTTCCCTTTTTGCTTTGCTTCCCCCCTTTTGTCTTGGTGGCAGGATTACTTTTCCATTTGATAAGATAAAGGCTTCACCATCTTCTTTATTAGAAACAGTAACCTTTTCTCTCATTACAGAGACTGAGTTCACTTTTGAGCAATGCCACTGCTCTGTGTCATCATCCTCTCCCCCATTTCTGGTGAGTTATTTGAGATGACTTCACAGCACCAAGTGATGCAAAATTCCAGCTAAGTGATAATGCCAAATTAATATTTTACATCTCCTGTTGGCTGAGATGGGCTGCAGGCATGAACTCAGGTGCTGGAAAGGCTTCCCTTGGTTTTACAATTGTGTTGCAGCCCATCCTTTCTTTATTTCAAATATCCTGGGAAAACTCCTCTTTTCCTTTCCTGTGCAGTCTTCCCTGGAAGCAAAAGAAGTTGACAGCATACAATGCTCTGTATTCCCGAGAGCACTACTACAATCTTCAGTCTGTAAAGCCTGAACAATCTGCTTTTATTGCTCCCAGGTGAGTCACTTAGTCTGGTGCTACCTGTCAATTCAATTGCTCTACAACTAAAAGGAACTAAAAATAGTCCTTTTGATTAAGATGGATTTGTGGAAAAGTAAAACTTGGGGAGAAACAGCCAAAGGACAGTTCAGTAAAGCATTCTCCTCAATAAGCAGCTAATTAGCTTTCCTTCTCCTGCACATGTACATACATATGTAGACCCATCTCTCTAATCAAGAACATGTAAATGGTCTTTCTTTGTTGTAAACACCAAGCTGAAGCCTGGAAGTCATTCAGAGACCTGTTTAATCAGTCTGCACATTGCACAAGTAAAGTGGCAGAAGGCCCCAGAGCCAGCTCAGGCTATAGATAAGGAAGTTCCATTCATTAACAGAGGCTGCGACCTTAGCGATAAGAAAATTGCCTAGAAACAATGAAAGGACCCAGTGAAGAACAGGAAGATCCCTGACCCTAATATCATTACTGGTCAGATCTGTCATGTGAAGGGTGAGGAACTTTAACTGTGAAGGTATAAATGCCCAGGGATTTCTTTGTTCAGGGTTCCTTTTCAGAGACACCCTGTAGCATTATCAATAAAGAAGACTTTGTAGGAAAATCTCTTTGCAGCTTATTGATTCAGTGGAAACCTAGAGTCGAACTCCTTTATGGTGGATGGCATGTGCAACTTCCATAACATCATTCTACAAACAAGATTATGTATATTGCCACCAGCCTATAGTTTTATGATCTTGTGAGCAAGAAGAAGACATATATATTCCAAGGCATCAGCAGATTGTTCAGTTACTGAAAAATCCCTTTATAGAAACACAAGCTGACAGTGTCAATCCAACATTTGTACTAAACTCTTCCAGATCTGGGTTATTGGCTACCATCCAGTTTCTTCCCTTTTTGCTTTGCTTCCCCCCTTTTGTCTTGGTGGCAGGATTACTTTTCCATTTGATAAGATAAAGGCTTCACCATCTTCTTTATTAGAAACAGTAAACTTTTCTCTCATTACAGAGACTGAGTTCACTTTTGAGCAATGCCACTGCTCTGTGTCATCATCCTCTCCCCCATTTCTGGTGAGTTATTTGAGATGACTTCACAGCACCAAGTGATGCAAAATTCCAGCTAAGTGATAATGCCAAATTAATATTTTACATCTCCTGTTGGCTGAGATGGGCTGCAGGCATGAACTCAGGTGCTGGAAAGGCTTCCCTTGGTTTTACAATTGTGTTGCAGCCCATCCTTTCTTTATTTCAAATATCCTGGGAAAACTCCTCTTTTCCTTTCCTGTGCAGTCTTCCCTGGAAGCAAAAGAAGTTGACAGCATACAATGCTCTGTATTCCCGAGAGCACTACTACAATCTTCAGTCTGTAAAGCCTGAACAATCTGCTTTTATTGCTCCCAGGTGAGTCACTTAGTCTGGTGCTACCTGTCAATTCAATTGCTCTACAACTAAAAGGAACTAAAAATAGTCCTTTTGATTAAGATGGATTTGTGGAAAAGTAAAACTTGGGGAGAAACAGCCAAAGGACAGTTCAGTAAAGCATTCTCCTCAATAAGCAGCTAATTAGCTTTCCTTCTCCTGCACATGTACATACATATGTAGACCCATCTCTCTAATCAAGAACATGTAAATGGTCTTTCTCTGTTGTAAACACCAAGCTGAAGCCTGGAAGTCATTCAGAGACCTGTTTAATCAGTCTGCACATTGCACTCAGACACAAAGAATGCATCAAAAGAGAGGAAGGAGAGATGGAGACAGTGAAAAATTGACAAGAAATTGGGAGAGAATCACGCTAATGAGGGAGAGAGACACACTATGAACAAAGGGGTGGGGAAGATGAGAATCACAACAGAGAAAAAGCAATGGCTAAAGAAAAAAAAAGCAGTGATGAAAGCAACAGTAAGAGTAGAAGCTTAAGGGGGAAATATTTTCTCTGCCATGAGAATACAGGGGTTGCTGTAGCTGCTGGGGATAAAGCAGCCTTCTCCTCATATAGGCATATATTGATTATTCAAGATTATTCTGTCATAAGAGGCAATAGTTCTGTACAATTCCTCCAAAAAAGCAGAACACTGTATACCTTAACACTTCCCTCCATCCACAGCACAAATTAAATAATGGCATCCTCCTGTGGAAATCGCCACACGGGCTAAGATACAAGCCCCAGAGAGGAGCAGTGCCATGATAAACCACAGGTGCTACACGAGCAATTTCACTGAAGTGAGATTGATCATCATCTCCACACTATCCTGCAAGCCCATCACTAACTCCTACCTACCCAACACCCTCCTGTCCCCAGCTAGTCCAGTTAAAAGAAATAATTCAAGTGACAGCTGAATCTCACTACCACACTGTTCTCTCTCCCTGCTCACATGACTGAACAGAAAAGCAATGCTGCCAAGTGTTTAAAACACATTTTCCTTTCAGAGAACTCAGAACAAATTTTAAAAACAAAGCAAGACTTCCCACTGAGTAGCTCACCTTCATTACATAGTGTATCACTCTTCTAATCTATGGAGCCCAGCTAGAAATAACAGAGATGTTCTTTCCTGAACCCAAAAATAAATGTATTTCTTAAATATCACGATAAAATTCTGAGTTGGATAACTAACAAAGTACCACATCAATCCAATCTGAATTGATGCAAACACCATATAAACCTTATATTTATGTTCAGAACATTATCAACATACACTTTGCTTCTTACCTGTCATTTCTACCTTCATATTCTCTTCCTTCCTTACATATTCTTCCAGATTTGACTCCTGCATGGAAACAGATGATCTTACATCATGCTGAGCCACAGGCAGAGATTCCACAAACTCCTCCGGTCTGTTCCGTTCTATTTTTAATTCCTTTTTCTGTCCTTCATTCCCACCACGTCGTGACTTTAAGAAAGCAACTAAACTAGAATCTGCAAAGAGACAGACAGAGAAGTGACAGAAAGTCTCCAAATAATTTGTACGCCTATAGGTCCTGCTATTTATGTTTTAGTCTCCTCATTCCACATGCCCTCTTCTTCTGCTCCAACTTCACTTCTTTTCAAACTGAGGCACTTACCTGCTTTATGACCTTTCCAGCACATAAGCTGGGTACAACTGACTGGTGAGGTGACACCAGAGGAAGAGGTGGATAAACATCTTTCAAGATCAAGCAAAAAAAAATTCTAGTTATTCTCCCAGCTTACAAATAAAGAGATAATTGTTTCTGTCCCCCTCACTGCCACTGAAAAGGCACATCCAAACAAGTTTGTGGTGAGAATTCTGGTCTGTGATTTATGGGAGGAACGCAGGTCTGACACTTTGCCTACCCTGTCTGTGGACCACTCAGTGACATCTGAATGCTACAAGAATACACCAAACACACACTGCAAAAAAAATTACCTGCTCTTTACTGAATTGCACCAGATCTGCAGTGCATGGTCTAGATACTACATTAGCAGGAGATTTTGTTTGTTCTGAACTGAGTCCCCATCCTGAGAGTCAACTGTGGTCTGACAACATGAACAGAAGTGGCCATTTTCTTCATGCTTTGGAGGAAAAGAGGGACATTTGGGAGGCAGAGGTGTTTTGAAGGACAGATAATATTTCTATGGCTCTAAAATACAAAAATGTCACAATATCATAACTTTACTTCCACATCTTCTACAGATATCCCACATCATTTTTGATGGAGTGCATTTTCTCCCTGGATATTCTCCATCTAGAAGACTGGCTGTTGGGATGCTTATGCCAGAGGTGAACACCAAGAACCTGTACATTGTGCTTCTGAAAGGTACAGAGATACTCCAGTAAGCAAAGTCAGAGATGTATACAGTAACAGAATATAACACCTACATTGGTTATTTATTCTTTGGAGGACTAAGGACAAGAAATTCAGAAATGTTCCATATCCAAGAGAAGTAATCCAAAAAGGAAACTACTCCATATCTCTGAAACAGGTCAAAGAGGATGCAGGATCTAACCCACACTTTTGATTGTTACACACTCTCCTCATAATGAAGTTAAAACCTCCCTTGAAGAAAGAGAGACACTCAGTGCAGTCTCATTAAAGAACTCATCTTTTTTCCCTGAACGCAAGCAGAGCTCTCATGTTCTCACACTTCACTGTACACCATAAGGAAAGGATTTTATTCATTATTTCATTCTGTCACACAAACATTGACTGTCACTGATGATGTCAATCTGTGCACAGTGTGTCAGAAAGTAAGCCTATTCTTGTCCAGAGTCTCCATGAGCAAAACAAGAAGATATTCAACAGTAAGACCCAGAAGACACTGCCCAGGATGCACTTGCCTGCCCATCCTCATAGTCCACACCACAGAGTTTCATCTGCTTCATAACTAAGAGGTTAATTCAGAGACTGGGGCAGCATGAAACACCAACAAATTATTCACACTCCTGAATATGGAGAAAAAGTCTCTTTAATTCATACCTCTGTGCCTGTCCAGTTGCCAAGTTCATCCGAAAGCCAGCAAATGAGTTCAGGAGTTGCTTCATCATGCATAATTCCTTAACCACAGATATTTTGGGAATGCCAAAACTACTCCCAGTTTCTTTAAGGCCTCAAAGACTGAAAGATCTACAATTTTAACCCATGGGGCATACAAATAAATACATTGTTTCCGAAAATAATTTATTATTCAAAAATACTTAAAATACATCCTATCCTTTTAAAACTTCCTAAATATTCACTTCACTAGCATCCCAAAGGACCAAGTGTGGGAACAAGGAGCAAGGATCGCAAATCAGTCCTAAGAAGCACATGCATAAACAAGGTATTTCTCATACACGTGCCATTATTATATGCAGTGAAGTCAATAAAAAAAAATAAAAATGTCTTTTTCACCTGTTAGTTTGGAGAGCTCAGCTCTCTGAATGAAGTTTGTGTCTAAAGATTCTGTTTGCCATTACTTAGCACAGTTTCTTTGACACCTTTCCAGTTATACCCTTGCTGGTTATAACAAAGCCAAGTTCATTAATATGATTTTTAAGCTGCACCCACAAGAGTCTTATGCAACTGCCACTCACAGCTCATTTGATGCTAGAGAATCTGAAATTATGAGAATTTCAAAAACCCTTGTCTGCCACCTACATCTGTACATCTGCTCTTCTCAAGCATTACAAAAAAGTCACAGAAACCAACGTAGACAAGTTTTACAGTGCCCTTGATCACACAAAGTCAGGGTTCTCCCCCATCTTGTCATCAACTGTCAGCAACAGGCATTCCCAGAGCACCACTGCAGACCTGGCTCCAAACCAGAGACCACACCAACTGGCTGCATCCAACAGCCAGGTAATTAAAACCTTTTTTCAAGAAATTCAAGGCTAGTTTTAAGTTCTCCTCTACCAAGTACAGATTCAAACTGAAACCTCCCACATGCCCACATGTCTCCCCTATCTGGGTACTGAGGGTTCCAGCTCAAGTCTTAGGTATTCTGGAGGGGAAGACCAAGGGTGCTCTCTCACCTTAGCATTACCATGGCAGTCCTAAGTACACCTTTGCTTTCTTAGCTGTTTCAGACAACTACCTTTTAGGACCTCAATACGTTTATATGTAATTAGGCATTTGATGTGTAAAGCGACTGAGTGCATTGACCATCTTATCCCACAGCAAAAGGAAGACAGGACAGACTTAAGCTAAGTCCTCTCTAAGTGAGGAGTAAGCACTCTTTAATTCCTTCACACTTCATTCTTACTCATAAGCTACATTATCCACATACACAATGAGCAGCAACCCCAAGCTCCCATCTTTGATCTGTCAATTTTATGAGACTTCAAGACACCTACACATTCAAGAAATTTTCATGCCTCTAGGAGAATTAATGCTGGGAAGCACTTACCCAGCTGAGCCAGAAGCCTCTTCTGCTCCTGCAGGATCTCTTCCTCAGACATGGACTGCAGCTTCTCCAAGTTCTCTTTATGAATAGCCTGAGCTTCCTGCTCACTCTTTTGGCTTCCAAGACCTTCTCCCGTTATGAGACAAGGCCGCTGAGAGGTCAAAAAGTCACCAGCTTCACCTGTAAGATCCAGCAGAGAAAGAAGTTAGTGATCTAAGTGTCTACAGCTTTTTCCATTTTGTCATTATCAGGCTTGCATAATTTATTTATTTTTTTAACACTGGTAGCCAAGTTAAAATAGGAGTAAAGAAGTTCAGTTTAGCTTAAAAAAAAAATGAATTGAATTTTCATCCCATGTCACAACAAAAGGCCATTTCCACCTTGTTTCTTCAGGAGTCGGAGGAGGGATGGGGGGAAAGAAATTTTGTTTCTTTAATGCAAAGCAACAGCAAGAAAAGGCAAACTGAAGCATAAGTCACAACTTATGAGCAAGAGCCTTCTTTCAAGTAAGTGAATACTAGATTCTTTCTCTGCCCAAGAAAACCTGAACACACATTTGTATGTCAGGTGAGCCACGACCTAGTATGTATCTGTTGAGTTAGAAATAGAATTCAAATCCTTTTGTAACCCAGTTTCCAGAATGATACAGGATCCATTCTCAACACAAACATGTTTGCTTGTAACGATGTCCTGTATTCACCTTTAAGGGTTAAACACATAAAAAGTTCTGGTGGAAAAAAGGGGGGCATTTTTCCTACCCTGAAGATAATCAAGTCTCCTTTATCACCTGATCTAAATATTTTAAAGGCTCATTTCAACTATCTCTAGTAGCAGGGTAACATGCTCCTTCAGTCAGAGGGAGACTCTCCAGCTGTCCTGTAGCCTTTCATAACTGCACTTCAGCCACAACAACCCCAGGCAGTGCTACAGGCTTGAGGTGGAGTGGCTGGAGAGCTGCTCAGCAGAGAGACCTGGGGGTGCTGTTTGACAGCTGGTTGAACATGAGCCAGCAGTGTGCCCAAGTGGCCAAGAAGGTCCTGGCCTGCATCAGGAATAGCATAACCAGCAGGACCAGGGAGGTGATCCTGCCCCTCTACTTGGCCTTGGTGAGGCCACACCTTGAGCACTGTGTGCAGGTTTGGGCACCACAGTGTAGGAAGGACATTGAGGTGCTGGAGAGGGTGCAGAGAAGGGCAACTAGGCTGATAAGGTGTCTGGAGAACAAGTCTTACGAGGAGAAGCTGATGGAGCTGGGGCTGTTCAGCCTAGAGAAGAGGAGGCTGAGGGGAGACCTCATTGCTCTCCACAGCTACCTGAAAGCAAGTTGTAGTGAGTTGGGTGTTTGCCTCTTCTCCCTGGTGACTAGCAATAGAACACAGGAAACAGGGCCAAGTTGTGCCAGGGGAGGTTCAGGCTGGATTAGCAAAAATGTATTCACTGAAAGAGTGGTGTGGCACTGGAACTGGTGGAGGCACCATCCCTGGAGATGTTAAGAAAATGGGTAGACGTGATGCTTTGGGAGATCATTTTTGTGGTCACAGGGGTGTAGGGCTGACAGTTGGACTTGGTGATCGTAAAGGTCTTTTCCAACCTTAATGATTCAATGATTCTATGACCTGACTTTGTGGCTTCATTCCTTATGTTTTGTTCATATGCTCCATATAGTGATTTGGAACATCCCTATGACCCTAAACCAGCCAACCCTGAAAGCATGAAAACCCTGTTCAAACAGCAGTAATGACACTCATCACAACATCAGTAAGGTTTGATGACATTTTTGCAGCAGTTGTGTTGCATACTGAGAAGAAAGACCTGAGCAGCCAGAGTGGCCTGATAAGAGATTCAGCAAACTTCCCACCATTAGCAACTGAGCTGAGGGTTACCAGGCACAAACGCTTTGTTACTACAGGAAACTGAGCTCCCCCTCTTTTCCTCTTGCCTCGAGTGATCTTTTCACAACAAGGTCTCTGAGGAGGCCAAGCCATTTTCTGATCCCTCTGTTGTGCTACATTTCAGAAGCATTCTACTTCAAGAGGATTTTTCCTTTGAGATTTCTCAGACAGAAGTACACAGGTACAATTGTAACAGGATCCACAGTAAGCACAGTATATTGAACTGGCTGGTGGATTTGTGCCCACACAGCACAGCATGCCTTGGGATTCTCTTACCCGTTCTCTGACACAGTTCAGGGCAGACAGAAACTTTAGCCAAATGGCAATAACCATCAAATGACATCTGCCCTCTATTTCGATGTGAAAAAGAGGGTAATGGGGAAAAACCCAGACACATTGTAGTCCTAAGCAAATAGGACTGCCCAAGAGAGAAATAAATTTTAAAAAAAAAGGTCTGATATGCTGGTACAAGTTGAATTGGCTTCATGTTTCCTTGTTATGCTGCTGTCAGACAAGTAACTGCTGGAGGTGGCACTGACTCATCAGTACTGCCTCACAGCATTCCTTATGGAGCAGAGCCACAGAGTCATGGCAGCACATCTGGTGACAGAAGACTGAACTTATGGCAGGAGTGGGAACCTGCATCATAGTGGTCTCAAACACCTTCATCTGACACAAAAAGAATCCTCTTCCTAAAATTGTGGAAATCAATGATGAAACAAGAAAAACTTTACATAGAACAGAAAGGAAAAGGAGAACAAGAACTTGAAAAAGAAATCTATTTGGCCCAGTGTGAAGCAAAGATGAAAATGGTGAGAAAACCCAATTTTTAGTATGTTACTGGTCCCGGACCATTTCAAATCTTTGTCATACCCCAGACATTCCAAGTGACCTTAAGATACCTAAAGTGAGGACAACAGTGCTACCCGACCTTAAAGGTGCACCGATGTTACGGTTACTAAAGTTATGTAAATACAGCGGGCTGGACAAACAGAACCTTCTCCACATACCATCCCTGATCCTGGGGAGAGGTGCCTCTTCTGCTGATCCCTCAGGATCCAAGGCACCCAGAGCAGCTGATTTCCCTTGCAGGCACTCGGCAGCAGAGGGAGCTGTTGCTGCCTTTTCAGCAGCTCTTCTCGCTGCCATCTTTTGTGCAAAGATGCTTTTTCTTCCACACCCCGCCTTCACCTGCAAACAGGGAAGCCATGTGTCACCACTTTCCCCTCCAGACTCCCCCGCACACCTGCCTCTAGCAAATGTATAAATCTGATCCTAAAGACATCCTCAGATCAGACCTTGAGACACGACTCATAGAAGCTACTGGCAGCCACCTGCCCTTCTCTGTGGATGCACTATTCCTTTTTTAACACCCAGTTCAATGCTAGGACAGAGAGACAAAAATATGAACGTTTTTGCTACTTAGAGAAGGAAGATGATTAATTATGAGTGAATTCAAGCCAGGCAAGTACACCTAAAATATCACTAAACACAACTGTTCCAGTTTTCCTGCTGTTTGGAAACCCTGAATAGCTGAATACTTTGCATTTCTGAGGATAAATGGGGCTGTACTCTACTGTGCTCACCACATGCTTGGAAAAGGCCTCTTATAAGGTGATTAGAGAGCAGCAGGGTGAAGAGATTTACACAGTAAGAAGTGGGCAAGTAGTGCTAAAATAATCCTGACTAAATTACTGTGCTGTTTGCCCAGGCAATGGAAGGGCATGGCTCTGAGCAGCCTTCCACAGGATGCACAGAAAATCCAAAGTAGACTGAGCAAAAAAACTCTTGCATGTCCTCAGCTCAGGGAAGAAGCTTAAAAGGCAGTCTGAACATTTGGTTTCTGCTTTGTGCA